AAAAAATAGTGGGGTATTGTGGTGGATGCCTGTAGTTCAAGCTACTTGGGGGGGCTGAGGCAAGAGAATTGCTTAAGCCTAAGAGTTTGAGGTTGCTGTGAGCTGTGACACCATAGCACTCCACCAAGGGTGACATAGTGAGACTCTGTCCCCCCCCAAAAAAAAATAAAAACATCTGTGGCATCTTAGAATTTGCAGAATCTGGTTGTAATTCAAAAAATATTTAGTCTCCTATAGCCTCATTATATCAGATTGCTCTCATAAACATCATCTCTTACTAATATAATATCATACTACGAAAAGCTAAAATCTGTTTATAGCTACTTGAGAAGCTGAGGGAAGAAGATCACTTGAACCCAGGGATCTGAGGTTGCAATGAAATATGATAACAACTCTACACTCTTGCTGGGGCAACAAAGCAAGACTCTGCCTCAATCAGTCAATCAATACACACAGACTCACAGACTTAGAGCACTTCCATTGACGTTTATGGTAGAGTAATAGGGACTGGATTTACCCTCGTGTTTTAAACAGCTGAAAACCAGACAAAATAAATGAAGCAATAGTTTTAGACATTGGAAAAACAGCCAGCACAGAGCAGTGATTCTTGAGGAATGAGAAAGAAACAAGAGGAACAGTACAATTGCTCCAAGTTACTGCTTGGAGAGAGCTTCCAGGCTAAAGAGCAGGAATAAGAATCCCAAATCTAACTGAGTTCAGGAGAGAGAACTTTGTATTTGGGGAGAAAGGCAGCTGGAATTGAGTAGAATCAGGGGTCCTCAAACTTTTTAAACAGGGGGCCAGTTCACTGTCCCTCAGACTGTTGGAGGGCCGGACTGTGGGCCCTGGGACGAGTCGGCTGCTAAGCAGGACAGGCAGCGGCAGCAAAAACACCTGGTGGGCCAGATAAATGTCCTCGGTGGGCTGCATGTGGCCCGTGGGCAGTAGTTTGAGGATACCTGGCTCAGTAGATTGACAGAGGGGAGAGAACTGCAGTGAGCATGCTGCAAGCAGAGGGGTTGTCTAAGTCTCTGGCTGAATATGGATAAAAGCATGAGTTCAGGGAAGCTGCCTGAGACTAGGGAAAGAACCACCAAAAAGGAATAGGTGAAACAATCCCCAGAACTCATACAGGGCTAGGAATCGTTTGTATTTACACTAGTTAGAATGGAAAGACCTCCTGAGGTAGAGTCCTCAGAAAGATATTGCCTCAGTAATGGGAGTGACCTCCACCCACCCTAAAAAACCTTTATTAAAAGCAAGCTGTGAAAGACTCAAACTGATTGCCAGTAGCTTAACTGTATCCCAAAACAAAACCCAACATTGTTTAAAGGAATACAATAAGTGCAGCACCCAATAGCATAAAATTCACAGTATCTAGTAGCCCATCAAAAACTATCAGACATGCAAAAAAGCAGGAAGAAAGATCTTCTACTAGGAGAAGACATAAATCAATAGGAACAAGCCCAGAAATGAAAAACAGATGATGGAATTAGCAAGCAAGAATATTAAAATAGCCCTTCCAAATATGTTCCATATTTTAGAGGAAGTACAGGAAAACCTGATTATAAGGGTAAGAGCAAAAACCCACAGGAGGCTTCTAGATATGTAAAATACGTGAAATGAAAAAATACAATGGATGGAATTAATAGAAGAGTAGACACCGCAGTAGAATTAAACAGTAATGTTGAAGACATAGAAATAGAAAATACCCAAAATGAAGCACAGAGAGAAAAACGACTGGAATTAAAAATGAACCGAGACTGAGTGTGGTCACTGACACCTGTAATTTCAGCACTTTGGGAGGCCAAGCCCAGAGGATCGCTTGGACCAGGGATTCAAGGCTGCACTGAACTTTATATGATCATACCATTGCACTCCAGGCTGGATTGCAGACCCTGTCTCAAAACAAAAAAGAACAGAGTCTAATACACATGTAATTGAAATCTCAGCAGTAAAGGTAGGTCAGGAAAATTATACAAAAAATAATGGCAAAAACTTTCCAACTTTGATGACAACATAAATCTAAGAGCTTCAGTAAATTCCAAATAGGACAAATGAAAGAAAAACACATCATAATCAATTCCTTAAAATCAGTGGTAAGCCAGCCATGGTGACATGCGTCTTTAGTCTTAGCTACTACGGAGGCTAAGGGAGAAGGATCAGTTAGGGCCAGGAGTTCAAGCCTGCAGTGCGGTATGATCATAACTGAATAGCCACTGCACTCCAGCCTGGGCAGCATAGTGATGCCCCGTCTCTGAAACAAAACAGAGCAAAAAAACAGCGATAAAGAGAACATTATTTAAAAAGAGTAAGAGAACATCATAAAGGCAGCCAATAGGAAATAGGTACTGTGCAGAAGAACAAAGATAACAGTAACAGCAGGCTCCTCATCATAAACTGTGCAGGTAAAGGGCAATGGAAGGACATCTTCAAAGTACTAAAAAAAGAAAAAAGACTGTTGGCTGTGTCCAGTGGCTCATTATCCTAGCACTTTGGGAGGCTGAGGCCAGAGGATCACTTGATGCCAAGAGTTCAAGACCAGCCTGGAAAAGATACTGAGATCCTCTCTCTATAAAAAAATTTTTATGCTTAGCGCCTGTGCTGGCAGGTTCGAATCCAGCCCGGGCCCACCAAACAACAATGACAGCTGTAGCCAAAAAATAGCTGGGTGTTGTGGCAGGCACCTGTAATCTCAGCTACTTGGGAGGTGGAGGCAGGAGAATT